CATGGCTCCCCAAACCCTGGTGGGGAGACCCTGGGAGAGCCCGGCCAGGGAAGCTGTGGCTGCTCCATCCCTGGGTTGGTGGGGACTGGGAGGTGCTGGGAGGTGCTGGGAGGCGGATGGGCTTGGGGGTCTTTAGATGAGATTGATGAGATGATTTCAGATGGAGGTTGGACATGTGTAGGAAATTCTTTGTTGTGAGGGTGGTGAGAGCCTGGCCCAGGTTGCCCAGGGAAGCTGTGGCTGCCCCATCCCTGGCAGTGTTGAAGGGCAGGTTGGATAGGGCTTGGAGCAGCCTGGGCTGGTGGGAGGTGTCCCTGCCCATGCAGGGGGGTCGGAACAAGCTGATCTTTAAGGTTCTTCCAACCCAACCCAGTCTGGGATTCTATGATAATTCATCTCCTGTTGTAGGGGAGAGCCTGCAATGGCCCCAGATCCAGGATTTGGCAGAACTGCTCTGGCCAGAGGAACCCGGTGGGATTCCTCATCCAAAACACAGGCTGGGAGCAGGGGGGTGTTGCTGCTGCCACCCCCAGCCAGCAGCAGGCCAGGGCGAGCAGGTGGGCTGGGCACTGGTGAGCAGACAGCTCTGCATCCTCATTAATCAGTAACGCTCCCAGTTGGTCTTTTGTCTCTTGCCCTTGAAGTATAAACACAGAGATAAGCCCGGTCCTTCCACAGCCCTTCCCCCAGGAGAAGCTATTAAAAAGCAGCTGGTTTCTGCCCACGGTTGGTTGCTGCCTTTTTCCTCTGGAGGGGCAGGAGAGCTGGGATGTGGAGCAGCAGCAGAGCTGCCACGTGCCCAGCCCTCCCAGTGTCACCTCCTGCTCTCCCAGTGTCACCTCCTGCTCTCCCACATCAAAGGGTCCAAGGGCCTTGGGCTCCTCCAAGGGCATCTCTGGCTGCAGAGCAGCCCCGGGACTGCCAGGCAGGAGAGCTCAGCCCCTCTGCTGGTGCCACCTCGTGTGCTGTGCCCAGGCCCCAGGTGCCCACCAGCCCTCCCAGGGAAGGTGTCACAGCCACAGGGCCAGGCTGGGTCTGCACGGCCCTGGCTGAGCCCTCTGGGGATGGTCCCAGGGTCTTACCCAGGCTGCAGCCTTTGGTTTTCAGCTGCTGCTGCACCTCAGAGCTGGTGGGTCCCACCAAGGACTTGCTGGGTGCTTGGGTTGAGATGTGGCAAGGGGGACACATGGGAGCAGCTGGAGACTGGGGTGCAGTGAGGGGACCCAGGGAGGCTCTCAGAGGGACTCCCCTTGCTGTTCTGGGGTGCAGGCAGCAGAGGTGCTCAGCATTCCCTGGGATCAGGGAGGAGGAAGGAGCCAGATGCCAGGGGATGAAGCTCTGTGAGGCAGCTGGGAGGGTGGCAGGTCCCAAGCCACCCTCTGCCAAACCCCCACCCTGCACCCCACTCCCCCAGGGCAGCTGGGGACAAGGCTGGGACCCCCATGTGTCTGGAGGAGAGAGAGACCCTGGCTCTGCCAGCAGCCTGAGCCCTGCTCTGCAGGTGCTGCAACCTGTTCCCTCCATCCCTGGGCCAGAGGCCAGAGATTGCTGGTTCCCTTCATGCCCCCTGGGCTGTGTTGTGGGGTGGTAATGAGTGACAGGAGCTCAGGGCAAGGTTCCCTGCTTGCCTGTAAATAAGTGCCAGTCTTGCCAGGAGCACTGGCAGTGCTGGGCTGTCCCTGGTCCCCAGGGCCACCACAGCCACACGTGGCTTCAGGTCCAGCTCTGCTCTGCAGAGACAGCTGGAGCATCACCCTGCCAGCTGGTCCTCACCCAGCAACACTCTGTGTCATTCCACACTGGGCATTTTCAGAGATTGGGGGGGTAAAAAAGAAATAATACTAATAAAAAATGCACCCTTGCCCTTTGCCTGCATCCAAACTCCAGCCATGAAGGGGCTGTAGTTCCGGGCACGATGATCTCAGGGTTCAGGTGGGCAGGCAGGGATGTGCCCCTGAACCCCCAGATGGTTGTGCCAGTTGCTGTCCCGGGCCCACCCTGTGCCAGGGTGACAAACACCCCAGGTTTGGTGTGGGATGAAGGCACCAGAGGGGCTGTTTGCTGCTCCTCCTGAGAACAGCAACCACGCTTGGGACAACGTAATGAATTTATGAAGGGAAAAGGGGGTGGAGGGGAGGGAAAAGGGGCCTTTCCCAGGCAGGGGGAGGAGGGACGTGCTGGTTCAGTGCCTGCCAAGCACCCCAGGGCTGGGCTGAAGTTCAGTGAGGGGGCGGCCGCCCCAGCCC